ATAAAAGAGATTAAAGACAAACAAGAAAAAGAAACTCAAAATGAACAATTTGTAAAAGATCTTAAAGAACTAATAGTAGAAATAACAAATATAGAGAATGAATATAAGGCAATTCAAAGAATGCCCAAAACTAAACTTGAAGAAGTATACTAACAAATACAAACTATACCATCCCTACCACAAGAAATTAGAGAAATTCAAGATAACAAAACACCTAGAGAAAAGATCTATACTTTCTTAAACTGGCACCAAGAATAACAGAAATCAACTAAACAATACTATAAAAATGAAATAGCTAAACGAGAAAGGAATTATCAGTACACATATGATGATGCTATACAAATACAACTACAACAATTTGTAAATATGGCACTAGCAGATAAACAACTAGTAATGCAACAACTAGTAGAAGAATTTAACAGCAATGGAGATCCAAAGAAATGAGAGCAAGCAAGACAACAGTACTTTAACAATCTAATGATAGAAACAAAAAGATTTGACTATATTAAACAAATACAACAACAACAACATGAACAAAGCAATGTAATAAAAGATGAAGACTCTGATAGTATAAAATCTGATAAAGAACATCAACAAAAGAATGATGTATTCTTTAAGCAATATTATAAAAATCAAGATATCGTAGACCCAAACCAGTATCAGACATTTTATACTAAAGAATATAATATATCTGACCTGAATCTAGGAGAAGGGAGTGGAACACAAGATATCTATATACCACCACCATTGTCAAGATACACTCCAAAAACAACACCTTCATATTCAAAAACACTATCAGTAGATTTAGGGCAATTACCTGATGCCTCACCACATCCAATAACCATAGTACCAGCTTTACCTAAATCAACTATTAAATGATTCTCAGAAACTATATCATCTTATATACCCAAATTACTATTTCTATCAAGAAAAGATTCAAGCTAAGACTTACGAAAAATAGTATTAAAAGATAATGCCACTATACAATTAAATGAACCAACTCTGCAAATGAATGATATACAAAATAATAATTAATTTACTGTACCACCAATAACAGATGAATTTAAACAACAACGACAAATATCATTTACCAAAAAACATGAACCTAATGAAATTACCATAACAACAAGGAAAAGTAAAAGAACCAACTATTGAAGAACAATGATTAAAAGTAGATGCATTTGACAAACTATTTGAAAAAATGATGGCCAAAGTAGATCAACAACTAAAAGAATCAGATTACAAAACACCCAATGACTCACCAAGTAACTCAATAGAAGTATTACCCGAATTAAAACCAACAACCAGTAGACCATCAATACAAGTTTCTAATAAAGAAGAAACCACATACAGATATAATATAGAATTAGATTCTGTAGAATTACAATATAAACCAATCAAAATGAATAGAAAAACTATAAAATTACACAAAGCCTTAGCACATATACCTAATGAAATAAGGTGACATATGATACCAACAATTGGAAAAGGACAACCTGTATTTACTAGTAACAATACAATAGTACAACCATTTACATAGCAAACAATATATATAATTAACCCTAAAAAAAAAACAAAAACTTGATAAAAATACCAGTATATATCGCACAAAATGGATTACCATTTAAGACAGCTTAGTTCGAAAAGCAACAACTAAAATACAAATATTTAATTAGATGAATAGACCAATTAAAATACCCAAAAGAACACATATAGAAAATATAGAAGAAGTAAAAGAAATCTTTGATTTCTAACATAAAACATACAAAAATGATTAGAAGAATAAAGAAGTAAGATTAAAAATATTAATTAAAAAAACTGCTCCGCAGTATAGAAAAATGTTTAAACCTCTGTTTAAAAGATATGTAAAAACAGTTTTAGAATGAAACCAGAAGAAGCAACTATATTTAATTCTAAAGAATTTACATCAATAAGTTTACTGCTTAATATACCAGAAGATCAAATACCCAGAAATGAAAAATCAAGAATGAGAACATGATCATTTGATCCAGAAGCACAAAAGAAAGCAGATGAACTATATGAAGAATTAATAAGAGATAAATATATAGAACCATCCTTTGTAATAATTAAAAAACAAGATAGAAGCTATAGAATAGCATGTGATTACACTAAACTAAACAAGTATACAAAAGATGACCCTTTTGAAATATTATATATAAATACCTTCCTACAAAAAATAGCGCAGTATAAATACTATGCCACAGTAGACTTTAAAGCTGCATACTATCAATTTCTATTACCAGAAAAAGAATATGATAAAACAACAGTATTTTTCCCTACCAAAGAAAAATATAAATGAACATACTATCTATGGGATTAAAAACAGCACCTGTATATAATGAGATATATATACAAAATTTTCTCTCATTTACCATTTGTAGCAGTATATATAGACAATGCGACAGTACTAGCAAACAGCCCTGAAGAACTCTTAAAAAATCACAAAATGGTATTCAAGAGTATAAAAAGAGCAGGCATGGTATTAAAACCTGAAAAATGTTTATTCTGTTTAACTGAAACAAGAATTTTAAATTATTTAATATCATATAGAAAAATACAATCTAATCAAGTAAAAAAAGAAGAAGCCAAAAAATTAAAAATCCCAAAAGACGTAAAAGGAGTATAACAATTTACTAGATTTATAAATTACTTTAGGCGATTTATCAAAAACTTCTCAAAAATTTCAAAACTAATATATGACTTTTTAAAAAAAGATGTACCATTCAAATGGACACCTGAATGCCAAAATGCATTTGATAAACTTATTAACTGTATAAAAAATACTATAGCACTAACGTATCCAAAACCCGGATACCAATTAATAATAGAAACAGATGCATCAGATAATTCTATAAGCGCAGTACTTAAACAAGTTAACCCTGAACTAATGCATTATAAAACTAAAATGAGAACACTCAAAAATAATGAAGATTATTGGACAAAAATGCAAAAAGAAGTAATAGAATTTGGATCAATGAATCTAACTGCACTATAACAACAGTAGGGCAGTACTTAAAAAGAAATGT